ACTTCCTATCAGGAGGAGATTGGATTGATAAATCTGTTTTTAGGACTTTCAAGTTTATAGGATACTCACAATCTCAATCTTGGAGACTTCTTTTCCACTAATGTATAATGATTAGTAAACGATTAATGTAAATTATTAGTAAACAATTAGTTTAAACAATGTTTCATCTGAGCAATTTATATATTTGCTAGGGTGACTGGTAGTGTCCAAATACAGAAAAGAACATTGAAAAGAGAGGGGAGAAACCTGCCTAACATTGGGGACTACCAGGTTCCTTTAGTAAGTTAAGTAAGTAATAAGGAACTTAATAAAAAGCTGGATTGATAGCTAAATGGAGCTCAAGCCTTCTGTCACTTTCCCTGTGGGTTTTTTTTTTAATATACTTCAAATAAATTACAGTATACCAGTATGGAAGTCATCTGCATTGTTACTGTCCACATGCAGTAGGCTGTGGATACTCAGCTCACTATGTGCATACTTAAGCAGAAGTCCTGAAATCATATCCAGGAGGGGGTGGTCCTGTACATCAGCACAGTAACTAGGGCCTTCACCCAGGAAGCAGTACACACAGATTTTTACCAGGAGTGGGTTTGAACCTGCATTTTTAACTTTCCAGGTTGTGGCTCTTATTACCAGGCCACAGGTCAAGCATTAGCCAGTTGCTGCTCTCACCCTTCTCTTGAAATTGAGTCCCTTCACTTTACCTTAATATTAATGGGATGAAATCAAGAACAGCATGCAAGCATCTTGGTCCTGAGAAGATCCAGGCTAGAACTCAGGCCCTTGTGGAGTCTAGTTCCTTGTTAAGCTTACGGTGACACGTAGCTTACCAAGCCATACACCTCTTGTTTTTTGTGCTATACTTTTCCAGCTCTTGGTTGCTCAGGAAGCCAGCTTCTGGAAGCATTGGAGAGCAGTATGAGCTAATACCTATCTGGTGGCTGGGTGATTAGTGCTTTTGGCTGGGAAGTCAAAAGAGTTGCTAGTTCAAATTCCATCTGTGTCAGAGGGGCCTATTGTATTAGTCAGGGACATTATTAGTTGCCCAGAACACTTTGGGGGACTGTGCTCACCCAGTTACAAAGCCATATACCTACCCAGCCAGATTGCAGCCTGTTATGCTTGCTCCATAGCTGTGTGGACACCGTGAGTCCACACTGTATGCCAAATAGTATCACAAACTGTTCTAAGTGCTGGAGAATTGCAGACAGGAGAGGAACTGCGATTTGGGTATGTAAACTGAAATAGGGATGTGCCCCTGGTGTCTGATAACCACAGCAATTTAAGTATTTTCTAAATGCTCATGATGCACAGAATAGTTTTAGCTCACAGGATCAGTGTTTGTTTTCTCAGTGAAACAAATAAAGAGGAGGCATGTGTAATGCCCACATGCACACAAACCTTGTAAGCCTTTCAGTAAATACGCAGTTTTTCTTCGTTGCACAATTCTTGCGAACAGTCGGGGCTTGTCCAAGATGTTTATGTTGGTTAAAGTAGTTAAAAATTATTCCATAGCTAGTTAAGCAAGCCTTTTTGGAAGGACAGCTAGGTAGATGAGTAAAGATATTTAGGATGCTAGTGTTCTTATAGTAATGGCAGGCAATTATATATTTTTTCTTACTGAACTTGCCTATCTCCCATGTCACTTTAATTTTAACGCTTTCCTTGTTTTCCACAGTGTTACACAGATCTCTCAGCCTCTGCACCTCCCCACCACCTCCCAGAGCTCTGCTGTCTGAAGTGGTGACTCCAGTCTGCAGTTGTTCCACTTCATACGCAGGGGCAGGCAAACTGTGGCGCATGGGCCAGATCCAACCCACTGAGCACTTTCATCCGGCCCAAGATGCCCACCAACAAACTGCCCTACCCAGGTCTTCTGCCCATAAGGCAGGGCTGCTCAGGGTGCTCGTGCCCAATGCAGGCGCCCAGTGGGGCACAGCTTTGGCCAGCACTGCATATCGCAACGAGGAGAGCAGCCTCTGCTGGGCCGTCTGTATTGCTAGCACTCCCTGCACTTGCCGGGCATGGAAAGGAAGCCCCACGTGCTGGAGCTAGCTGCCTTCCCAGCTGGGGCTGCATGGTACAAGAGGGAAGCCCTAGGTACCTTTCCCAGGGGGCAGGGAAGGCAGCCGATTCCAGTGTGCAGGGCTTCCCTCCTGCGCATGGCGAGTGCAGGGAGTGCTGGTGATACAGACTGCCTGGTGGAGGTTGTGCCCCTTGTCCGTGGTGTGCAGCACTGGCCAGAACTGTGCCTGCCAGGCATCAGTTCCCTGAGCACCTCCGCCTGCTGCTGCTGCTGTGCCATGAGGGGAATGCGGGGATCCTTACACCCCCTGCACCCTCCCTCACACCCCACAAGCACCACACACCCACACCCTACCCCCACAACCCCCTACATATATGCAACCCTCCAACATACCCTGTGCCCCCCCACACAGCCACACCCCCTCACAAACCCCCCACACGTACCCCCACACCCCCATACACACCACCATACTCACACACCCCAAACCCCACCATACACACACAGAGCCACAGACACACACACACCCCCATCACATGCACCCACGCATGTCCCGCAATATACAAGAGTAAGAATTTTTTTGAGTTATTATGCAATCATCTCCTCTATACACAGTGCAAACAAAAATCATGACAAAAATATTTTTTGTAATAATATTAAAATACATTATAGTAGGTGTTTGACTTTTAGTGTATGATTTGGTTTTTTCCTGGTTCTAAGATGGCAATCCCCTCCCCGCAAAAGGAGTATTTCCAGGGGACAAGGGATGGGCAAAGGTTAGGGATAGGACTTCCATTCCCAAGATGGTGATCAGGGGGCAGGTCAACTGTCAGGGGGCAGGGCTACCCATACGGCCATCGACAGCTCACCAAAACTCGTTAAGAAATAATTAGTCAAAATAATTGCCTGCCCCTGTCGTACAGTAATTCTAATCTTATTTCTTGCTGCTTCTCTTGTTAATTTTTCAAATGTGCTTCTCTTTGTAGACTGTAAATCTTGAGACCTTCCTTCACTGTGACACTACAGACTGTCCAGCTGACTGGGAACCTATATATTCAGCAATGTGTCATTTTAGTTTCCCATGACACTGTGTCATTTTAGTTTCCCAGGGCACTGCTGCATGCAAATCTGATGCATTCTGTGCATACTTATTACAACATCCAAAGTGTACGGCAGTGTAGAGAAGCCCACAGATTTATCTAAAAGCATTTAGTTGTTTTAGAGGCTGATTGGTACACTCATGTGTAGGTTTCTCTTTTCCCCTAGACAGTATAACTGCTGTAGGTGTAAATGCTCTCAGGTTCTTGGTAGGATATGGTTATGCTAGGAATCTTAATTGGAAGCCAGGGAGAGGAGCTCACAGAGTTTGCTGAGAATTACTGTAAAGAAGGGTGATGCTGAGAGAGCCCATTGAGAAACAGTGATGCAGAGCATAGGTGGGGCCCTGTGGATGAATGACGACTCCAGCAGCTAGAGTTGTTTGTCAGATGCCTGATATTTTTCAATGAATAACCGAATTTTTTATCTCTAGGATCACCCATTAACAGATTTTAATTCCACCACTGTCATTTTCTGCAAACAGTCTCAGATCACTTTAGTTGCATCACTGGATCACTTTTTCCCTCCTGTTGTTCTTTAGTGACCTGCAGAGATTTTTCCCAAAAGTTACATATTTGTTTATAAGAATCTGAGAAGGGAAGGGTGGAAAGGGAGGAAGCATATGTTTGTTGTTTAAAAGGCAGTTGGTGCTATATTGTAACAGTTCTCTCTATGATAACTATCTCAGGAAATTGTAAAGTGTAGTAGTGTCAGACAGAATGATAGTGTATTTACACAAATTTAAGGTGACCCTGACTTTAAGATGATTCCCCAATAATTAGATTCTATATATGGAAATGTTATAAATTTGTTGTCATTTTCCAGGTATAGAATCTAATTATTGGAGGTTTGTCTTGAATTTATCCCCTTCCCACTGCTACAGCAAGGTAAATAGTAGTTGGGGGTCAGGTAGCCCCCTTGCCCTCTTCCTTCCGTAAAGTTTTCCCCCCTGCAACCTCTCTTGCAAAAAAAAAAAATTTGCAAAAGAAAAAAAAAGGTAAAATGAATCAATTCTGGATGAACTAAATCTATACTATAGATTAGTATAGAACTGGTTCATTTTCCTTTTTTTTTTTTTTTGCAAATTGCTGGAAGTTTCTGCACAGGTACTTCATAAAGACACTTTTGAGCAGCGCTTTTATGTCTACTTATATGAAGTACAAACTATGCATGATATCAGTCCAAAACCAAAAAGTTCATGGTTTATCACACCGTTCATTGGGTTGGGCCCCAGCAGAGTCCAGAGCATGTCAAGCCATGGTGACCCCACAGTTTAGTAGTGCTCAGTATGTGAGTGTATTCCAGACAACCCCCCACAAAAGATCCATGTGCTAATTATCCCCCAACTTGTGATTGGAACTGCGTGTTCTTGTCACAAGTCCTGGCACCCTCCAGCAAATGTATATATAGATGAAGCGTGGGGCCACCTGGTCCAGTTCCACCCTATAGAGGCCAGGGCCACACATATCATATGCAACAGGCCAAAAGAGGGGGCCTTTCATCTACAAAAATGTTTGGTGACTTTTGCTAGATATTTAAGGCTGATGAAGAAGCATACAAGGAGTATATTTTTTTAAAGTATTTTGAAAGTAAGAAAAGATATGAATTGGAGTAGATTTTCATGTAACATACATGATTAACTGTACTAGGGTGTCCAAAATCCTCTTGTATGTGTAGTAAATAAAAATTATTGCTGTCAGAGTTGCTTGTTGTTGCCATAGTCTGATTTTGGAACTCTGTAATGCATGTAAACTAGTTCCTTTTTACTTTTGTAAAAGTGAACTCTGCTTACTACTGAAAAAGCATTTGTCAGAAAAATAACCTGTAGTTTGTTAAATCTTTGATCTGTTCTCCTTCCCCACCCTCTCATCCTCTTCAGTGTGGTTTAATCTCGAGACAAAGCAGAAGAATGTTCTTAAAAGACAGAAGAGTTTCTGAGACACACTGTGGAAAGAGTGGGCAGTCTCTGTATTCAGACTCCTGAAAAATGTGTGTTCCTTTGAAGAAGTAATCTATTGGAAGCATACACTTGGGAACATCGTTCTAATTTGTCTGTCAATCTTCGTTGAGTTCAGCAATATCTGTCCTGTAACCTAATTTTTGGAGTTGAAGGTTTCTTCTGCCAAACAAGTTACCTACTACAGATACCCAACTTCCATACAGCAAGGACACTTAACATGGCTCCGACTCTGTTGTTTGCAGTCTTGAGCTTATTACTTGGAGCAGCACTAGCATTTGGTCCAGTGCCCAGGATCACATGGGAGCACAGAGGTAAGAGCAGCGACTTAAGAAGAGCAATATATGCCTTTTTCATGCTGTGTTTGATTTTTATGTAGTTTCTTGAAGCAGTCCCAGGAAATTGAGGTGAAGTGGACTTTGCCATCTTGTTGCCATCCTGTCTTCCCTCTAGACATTTATAGTACTGAGGGTTTGCCTAATTGTTGGCTGTTTCATTGAAGTTTTATAATGATCAGGGCACATTTTCAAAAATTACTAATGATTTTGGGAGCCCAATTTGAGCCCATTTAAAGAGACTGACCTTCAGAAAGTGCTCATCATTCACTCTTTGAATATCAAGCCATTTGAATAAGTTTAAACTTTAGCACCCTAAACTGAAATCACTGGTCACTTTTGAAGGTTTTTGAGCTACATTTTCCTTGCAAAGAAAAGGGTCAATATACAAATGCTTACCTAATTCACAGCTTTTGTGCCCAATATGGCAACACAGCAACATTGTGAAAAGTACCTTGAAGATTCCTATATCTCTGTTTGCAATATGAAACCCCCCCCCCAGATGATTAGCTTACATATGGTATATAAAGCAACCAAGAGACAATGCTTAATCAAGCATTTTTATAGCATTAGAAACTCCTGAAAAGTCCAAGGGAGGGTAGGAATCGTGCCTTAAAGTATTTAGTCAACAAGTTGATTCAGATCTTGTTTGCTGTGGAAAAACCTACAGATCCCAGTGTACAATAATATTTTTAACTTTGTTTTGTTTAGGTTACTATTTCTTTCTTTCTTACTTGACACACTGTGGGTGTGTATACACAAGCATATGAAGGCAACACAATAAACTCTGGTGCTTATTATGCCGGAGATTATTGCTCCCAGGCGGAGCCCAGGGCTGCTCTGACCCAGCACAGCGTACTGCAGAGAGGCTGGCTGGATGGGGCACAAGGGTGCTTCAGGGTGGGGGCTAGCTAGCAGACAGCCCCTGCAGTGAAGCACCCGCGTGACCCAGCAGTCAGGTCAGTGTCCACACGTGTGCTGCTACGGGGTAAAAAATTAGTTTATTAGTTTACTTCAGCCTAATAGCTCTCCATGCGTAGATGCCGAGATGTTTACTAGCGAGCTAATAAGTCTACTTCACAGTAAACATCTCATGTAGACATGCCCTGTGTTAAGGAAAACTGTGCTCCTTTTTTTAAGAGAGTCAATCTTTGCCTCTTGTTGCTAAGCTCTTTGTGGATACTTGAATGAACCTGGATGTTGGGGAATTTAGCACCATTTAGGCCAGTGAAGTTGCTAAAGGTCATTTAGGGTGGATGCCAGATTTACTGCTCCTTCTATTCTGTGTTCAGGATTTGCGGGATTGATTAGGAAGGAAGGGTGTCTCATGTTTGTTAGCAAATAAGCAAAAGTTATCTACAGTACAGAGATTATCAGAAGTGCATATGGTAAAGGTTTCTTTGCTTGCATAATCTGAAATACTGTCCTGGACAGAAGCTTCTAAACAGATTTATTAACACTCAGGTTTATGAACAAACCTGTCCAAGTCTGTTTAGCTGTAAATCATGCCTTCCTAATGAGATGTGTGTGGCACAAGATTTTCCAGACAAAGCTTAGTTGCATTTATTTTGGTCTGTGGAGAGAACTGAATAATCAGTTCCTTGTTGTGAAGTTAGTGCCATGTTAATACTGAAATACAGCTGTTCTACATACACAGTAACTATTTTCCTTCTCCTTTCTATTTACACTTACATTCCATAGTACAACTCGAATTGTGGTGTGAATATGACACAAAGTCCCATTGATTTCAGTGGGACTCTGATCACACCCCATCTAAGTTACACAGACATGATACAATGTTAGAGTATATTGTCAGTGCAGAAGCCTCTTACTATTCAAGACCTTTTAGCAATTATTGGAATGTGTCAATGTATAGTATTGTATGCTTTGCACAACCATTTTATTTATACTTACAGTTACTCTTTATCAGTCATAAAGCCTTTGAGGTCAGGTTCATTGTTAAGTGAAGGCTTATCTCTCTCGTAATACTGTGGAAGGTTAAAATACTGTTAAAAGGAAAGTTTTGCAGGGTGGTGAGGTTTGGATGGGGCAGGGTGGAGAATCCACAGATACCCAGGTATCTTTCACCCCTTTGCTTTTGCGAAGTTAAGGGCTACTGGGGTTGTAGCTACTTTTGATCTCTTCAGTTTGTCAACCTAGGCGTATGATCAGGTGTCTAGATAAATTGACATATGAAGGGGAAATAGTTAACATACGCTTTTAGTGACATAAAAGACCTTTGTTGTGGACCAGTGTAAGCAAAGATATCAAATACTGAAGAGAGTTTCTTAATTGTAGGAAGAATATTATTGAAATCAGGGTCACAATTTAAATACACTTCTGGAAATACTCCTGTTTATTAGCAACCCCCTCTCCCCACCAGGAGAAGCTATTGTATATGTTGTATTGCCGTTGGGAAAAATAGTGTATGTAAGCATTATAGCTTTTTTAGACATAATGGCTAGGTACTGACATTCAAAAACCCCAAGGTGGAATTTTTTGTGCAAGGTGCACAGTTTTTTGTAAGCGGTGTAGTTTAGATCAGTAGCAAACAGAATACACATTCACCCTTTGTTTGGGGGAGGGTGCAAATCTTAGATTGGGTTCCACCATTTTTAAATCAGTCTGTGTGCTGAACTTCTGCTGCATTATGGGTATGGATTGGTTTTGGATCACTTATACTGGTAAAAGTGTAATGTCTGTACCTGGCCTTTGATTCTCCCACATTTTTGTAGTAGTTCTAGTTGGCAGATTGCATAAATCAAGTGGATGGTAGTGCTAATGTTGATTCATTTACAAATATAATCCCTGAACATTTCCAAGATTGTATAAGGTTGGCACCAGTATGAGCCAAGTTTAAACTGAGTGGCCATTTTGAACCCATTTCACCTCCCCAAATGCCTGTACTTAAACCCTGGTGTCACTACCACTGAGGAGAATAAAGCAGTTCACTGCAAGAACATGGGGCTATTCTCAGAATTATGTGCTGTGGCTGGAACAAATTAAGCTGGTCTCAGTGACTGGAATTAAGTCTAAACCTGTAACTATACAGAATTTCCATGCACACAAATCGGTCTAAAAATTGTGGAACACAGTTTAAGATTAAACTGGATCAATGTAGTGTCAAACTTACTTGATTTAGGTCAAACCAGTACATGGAACTTCTGTACACTTCCCCTGTGCAGCACTGGGGTTAGGAAAACCCAGTCTCCGTCTCCAGCCCCAGAGCTGCGCTTTTCACCCCCGCATCCCCTCACTGCTGTGCACCAAGCTATTTTTTGTCTCCCCGCCCCCAATCCGCCAGTCCCCCTAACCCCCATCCTGCAAGCCATTTTGGGTGCTGCTGCTTTTGTCAGCATTCATTGCTGCTGGAACTAAGTAAGGAAGTCTTAGTGGGGGTTGGGGGGAGAGCCAGATGGATGGGGGTGTAGGTTTACCTGGGGGATGTTGGGGGTCTAAAAATAGCTCCTGGCCTCCAAGCCCCCCCAACATCCTGTGAGCTCTCCTGATCCTACCAGGCCTTCCTGGACCCCAGCAACATCCCATGGATCACACCTACCCACCCATCCCCGAGATCGCTCCCACAAATCGCACCTGCCCCCCCCCCAACTCCCTGCAAGCTCCCCCATCCTGACTTACCTGATATTGGGCGGTCATTTTCAACTTATTTAACCTGCCGCTAATGCCCTCAGTCTGTGCTTAGCCAAGTTGTCCTAGTTTGGATACTAGTTTCAGGAATGTGGATAATGGTTGTTTGTTACCTAACCCTATCCTTTGTATCTAGGGTGTGTAGGCTACAACTTTTTTCAAGCATGAGAAGGGTTAACTAGGAGTTGAGTAGAAATCTGCAGTTTAAAGGCAAACCTCCTAGCATTTTGATGTTTTTGTGTGTAGTTGTGTGCATATTTATGTGTGCAAGAATATGAAATAACACAACAAACATATGGAATAGTTTGTTATATCAGAGGTCAATAAAATTTCATTTGACAGCTCAGATCTCAGATATTCATTTATACTGAGATTCATTCATACTGTATACATCAGTGCTGCAGCCTAGAGTTGCTAACTGAACCCAGGTTTTAACTAAGCTTCCTGTTGTGTTCTCCCCACCCTTCCCCAGCCAGACTGTAATATAAGATTTTATGATGGGTTTTGTTGCTTTTAAGATGTCAGTTTTCAGCACCAGCAATTACACAGATGAAAAAAAATGTTAGTAAATATTGTCCTTTAGTAATACTTTGTCAGGAATAATAATCATTTAACCTTTTATGTTAACAGAAGTACAGCTGGTACATTTTCAGTCACCAGAAGTGTTTAACTATTCAACCTTATTGCTAAGTGAAGACAAAGATGTTTTATATGTAGGAGCTAGAGAAGTTATCTTTGCATTAAATTCACTGAATATTGCTGAAAAACAGCATGAGGTGAGTATACCTTTTTAACCTCCTATTTTCCTGTTAAAAAAAAAAAAATTGTGTCCAAAATTGTTGTTGTTTATCTTTCCTATAATAGATGGTATATTTTGGGTAGCTATACTGTATATGCCATCGTTCCTATCTTTGCAACCACAAATGAGTCTTGCACATCTTTCAGTATCCTGCCACCTACATGGTTATCACCAGATTAAAATACATTTGAAAGTGGATTTGGTCTACAGACTGGCTGCCATCTTGCTGTATCATTCAGTTACAAAGCCAGGCATTGGTCTGCAAAACGCTCAATTTGTAGTATGATTGGATTCCTAGCGTGGAGCAAAATCTAGGGGGAAATAATTGCTTAATTCTCTCAAATATATTTACATATGAAGGTTTAGCTTTGGTTGGCTATTTTGATTTTAAACAGAGGAAGATGAAGGGCATGTCAGCCCTTTTTATGGTGAATGAAAGAGCCAGTGTCATAGAGGGGCCCCCAAAATCCCTCATCTGTGGGGAGATTCCTTCAGGTTTGGGCAGAGAAGGCAGGCAGGGCTGCCTTCCAACAACCCCTTTTCAAGCTGCTGCATAGGGGGTGTGTGGCTTGAATTAGAACAGGGGTGGGCAAAATCCGGCCCTCAGGTTCCCTAAAAAAGTTTAGAAACTTAATATTTATTTGTCCCTGGTTCCTGTCAAAGATGACAGGAGCTAGGGGCAGTAGAACCTAGGGGAAGCCCCGGCAGGCTCCTGCAACAGCAGGGCCTGCCTGGCCCCACCCCTCCCCAGCCTGAAGTGCCTGCCTGGGACCACGTGGCTCCTTGTGGCTGCACCAGCATGGGAAACTTGGGTAAGAAGTGGCGGGGCAGGGGAGGACCATGGGTATTGCCCCAATCCTCGGGACGGGCCTGCTCAGCTCCTCTCCCTCGGGACTGCACCAGCAGGGAGAGTGGGGAGCTGACCCGGCTCCATAGAGCCCCTGCCTGCTGGGACCCCACACTACTGCCACCCTGCTCTGGGCCCTGCCGGTGCTGGCCCTGGGACACTGGTGTGGGCCCCACACTCCTGCCTGGCTCCCATGCCTGCTCACTCCCAGTATCCCCCCCCAGCCCTACGTTACAGGTGGGGGGGCTGCGTGCAGCCCCAACCCTCTGCTCGCTGGCAGGAAACAAGCTGGTGCTGAGCATGGGGGAAAAGCAGCCCCTCCTCCGCTCTGTGGCCAGTGCCCCGTGCTGCAGCTGCTCACAGCCCGCATGGGGCTGTCCTGAGCGGGCAAAGGCAGCCCCACATGGGCTGTGAGTGGCTGCAGCATGGGGCATTGTCCACGGGGCGGGAAAGGAGCCTCTTTTTCCTGCGTTCAGCACCAGCTTGTTCCCTGCCGGTGAGTGGAGATTGGGACTGCACAGAGCCCCCTGCCTGTACCGTGGGACTGGGGGGTTACTGGGAGTGAGTGGGTGCAGGAGCCAGGAGCAGCACGGGGCCTGCACCGGTGTCCCAGGACCAGTGCCGGCAGGGCCCAGAGCAGGGTGGCAGGAGTACAGGGTCCCGGCTGGCAGGGGCTCTGTGGAGCTGGGCCAGCTCCCCCCTTCCCTGCTTGTGCAGCCCAACCTGGCTCCACAAACCCCTGCCAGCCTGCGCCCCGCTCTGGGCCCCACTGGCGCTGGCCCTGAGACATTGGTCCCAGGATGGTCTCCAGGGGGTGGGGCACCTGTCAATGGGCAGGGCTACTCATGTGGCCTTCGACAGCTTGCCAAAACTGGGTTGGCAGCCGTCCGCACACACCAACTTCCTCAGCCTGACAAAGGGTTTTTAAACCTGAAATCTTGCTTAAATATTTTTTTCCAACTATTTAAGTTGCTCTAATTAAAGATATCAGATTCACCCAAAGAACCTTGTCTGCCATGTTAGAGTAACACTTTACCCAGACTAATATATTCTACTGCTTAACAGGTCTAATCAGTCAAAGTGCTTTGTTAACATGGCTAGGCTTTCAGTAGCCAGGATAGCTTGGAGGTCTGTATATGATGCTGCATTGTGCTATAGCAGAGACATTATTATTATTATTATTATTATTATTATTATTATTATTATTATTATTTTTATTTATAACATAGCACCGAATCTTACATGGGGTGGCTTTGAAAACAGTTCAAAAGTTAAGTTTAATTAACAAAGGGGTGTAAGGAAATACTTTCAGTGATGATACTGATTTTTCCCGTCTATAAAACTGGTCTCCCTTCAGAATTGAACACTACAAAACAGCAGGAGACACATTTACTACATAGAATGCCGTCCAGTATCCATGACAACATGTGTAACCATCAAAACCTTTTCCTACCTATACTGTATTGTAGTCCATGAATTATTTGCATGTATTGACATTTTTTCCAAAAATAATTATGTAATTCATTTTCTCTACTTCAGTCTGTGAACACCCCCAAAACTATCATTTATTTTCCTAACAAATATAGCACTGGGAGCTTTGTTAATAATTTGAGAAATGTCATGGAATATCTTTTTGTTGAACCCTGAGAGATACTGGCTGTCAGTGAGAACTCCATTAGTTGCACATGCATTTGGAAATGTCACCTCCCCAGAGGATAAGACGTTGGGATCTGTGACAGCTATTTGTAAAGTGACTTGCATTTGCAATGAGCTCTCTTAAAAATCATCTGTTGTCAATATTCTGCATGGCCCACTGATAGATCTCAAACGAGTGTGAAGTGCACTGAACCTGCCTTTGTTTTGCTTGTTTCCCCAGTTATATTGGAAGGTCACTGAAGAAAAAAAGAGTAGATGTGCGGACAAGGGCAAATCCAAGCAGGTGACTTTGTTGCTTAGGGGAGGGAAATCTTAAAAACTTAACTGTCAAAATGTTTTCAAGAATGTGATTAATGTTGCTATTTATTTATTAATGTCTTTAAAAATTTAAATAATTTCAGAAAACTGATTTTCTGAACACTACCGCAAATATAGTTTTGCATTTGAATGACTTAATCTCCTTTACTTTTCTCATCTTTTCATGACCCTCACCTTTTTTATTCTTTATATTAAATGTATCTATTTTAACAAAATGACTGTTTAATTTGTGTGCATGTGTTTCAAGAGGTTTGTAGTGAACACTTGACCTTTGAATGGCATGTCTGTGTAGAGTTGGGGAAAAGGGGAGGGGAATATGGGGTGTTGGAGGATGTTAATGTGGACATGAAAGGAGCACAAATGCTACTACTGTTCCATATGTTTGATATGCATAACAATCTCTGAAAGCTTTGCCATGCCAAAATTAGTCTTGGAATACTAATTTTATTAGTAGAGAATTTAGACTGCTGTGGTACCTTAATTTAAGAGTACTTTAAAATAGCTGTGTGTAAGTTGCCAAGCAGTGTTTTTTGGTGATTCTGGTTTTCAGCCTTTTCCTCCTTGACTGAAGGTCTGTTGTTGTCTCTAAGATTATATATATATATTGATTATATACCATACTTGCTTATATATATATATATATATATATATATATATATCATAGCCCCAGTTTCTAAACTGTGACTTATCCTCTTTTGAGGTAGTATGTTTTCTGAATGTCAAGATTGTATGCCATCTCAAGGTCCTTATGGACTTACTGCTCAGCTGGCAAGAGTAGTCAAAATATCTTTTTTGTTCCCCCCCACTGTTGGCTGGTCATACTCCTGGACTTAACTTCTCTGTGGTAAGAGATTTAAATTCAGTTCATTTTCACAATGAACTGAATACATAATTTAACTATGAACAGTAGGAATGATACCTAGGTACTAAACTATGTTGAGGAGTGCACTGAAAATAGTTGCACAATGAAAGTTGTAGGAAACTTGATACTGTAGAATCAGAGATCTTGGATAATGAGATAAGGAGCTCTTGTCTTAGTAATGGTGGCATCCCCCAAACCTTATGTCATTTAAATGTGAGAAATATTTGTTTTTAGCAGCAACGGAAGAGTTGAACATTCAGTTTTAGTCAGCTAATGTTCCTATCAAAATGTTGAAGTTGTGGCTGATCACAATGCTTTTATGTTTTCCTTCTGCATTACAGACAGAGTGTCTTAACTACGTGCGTGTTTTGCAACAGCTGAATGATACTTTCCTGTATGTGTGTGGAACTAATGCATTTCAGCCCATCTGCGATTATCTGGTAAGTGTGGGCATGTTTTCTTGCCTTATAATAACTTTAAAATCAGTTAAAATGAATGAGAGGAAGGTGTATCTGATGATTTCATCTTTTCCCTAAGGCAACTGGAATTTCAGTGCTAGTCATAGTTCTTTAGTGACTGAGATCATGATTTTTTTTTTCACAATAACAGTGAAGAGACTGGAGGTTAATTTCAGGGTTTCTTTCCAAAACCTTTAACAAACTATTGATTCAGCCTTATTATTAACAGAAGTTTAAACCATGGAATCATAGAAATTTAGGGTTGGAATGGACCTCAGGAGGTCATCTAATCCAACCCTCTGCTCAAAGCAGGACCGTCCCCAACTAGATCATCCCAGCTAAGGCTTTGTCTAGCCGGGTCTTAAAAACCAAGGATGGAGATTCCACTACCTCTCTGGGTAACCTGTTTCAGTACTTTACAACCTTCCTTGTGAGAGTTTTTCCTAATCACTAACCTAAACTGCTGCAACTTGAGACCATTGCTCCTTGTTCCATGGGTGTCTGGTGCCTTTTGAGTGCTTCTCAAGGGTGTCTGGTGCCTCTCATCAGCACGTGCCCCCCCCTGACACAAGTCAGTGATCGAGGGCATGCGCTTTCGAGGGCTGACCATTTTTGTTGCCTTCTGCTGGACTCTCTCCAATTTGCCCATATCCTTTCCTTAGTGGGGCTCCAAAACTGGATACCGTTTACTTTAAAGCTTTCCTTTTATTATATCTGTTGACACAAATGTTCTCATTAGCAGAAATATATCATTTAAAGCTGTATTGATATTTTCCTCTCTTTCTCTCTGAATTCTCTCCAACTCCTGTCTTTGTCAACTACGAGATATTCCATGTCTTCATACTTTTGAATGCTTCCAAATGATCCTGTGGCTTAAAATCAAAAATCCTCTTTTCTGGGTCTCTGACTTGGCTAGCGCTATCCTAAACTTAGGTGTTATATTGTTCCCAAATTAGAAATGTTGGAATTACGTTAGACTATGACTTTATTTGTCTGACTTGTGTGCAACTCTGTCTACCATCACCTCCAGAATAGTGTCAGAATGTGTATGTTCCTTACCTTGATTGTGACTTATTTACTTATGCATAGATTGTTTCTCATTGTTGCTGTCGTTCACAGTTTTTGTGGTCTTCTCAAAATCCCTACACTTTTAATTTCAAGGGGTCTGTAAAGTAGCAGCCAGATTACTCCCTGCTGCCCCGCCCCCTCCATTTTAAATGTAGAATCAGATCACAACCCATTAGTGGACTTTTTCTATCTTAACTCCAGTCCCAGTTCCACCTCATAAATGGGACTTCTGGTATTCATATCTCTCATTTTCCGACTTGTTTCTGTGACCTGATACCCAACTCTTTACTCTGTTTTTTCATTCTTTACCATCTCTATCTTCTCAATGGGATTATTTTTTTTATTGGACCTCTTAGTAAGTTTAGAGCTCTTTTCACTATCTTTCTCTGCTCTTCTGTAATCTTTAGTCACCTGGATCATTTTCTCTCTAACTTCATAAGGTGCATTTTTTTAAATTTGGTTTATGGCATTTTTAAGTGCCTTTTCATGCTGAGTATGAATGATACAGTACAGTAAATTATAGTTTTACATTGTTTTTCACAATTACTTTTTACTTGATTATGTGTTTTGTTTCCATTAGAGGAAAGCATGTAAATCTTTTGATTTAACAAAAATTAATTCTTTGTAGAATTTAATGTCATTTGAACTTGGAGGTAAAAATGAAGATGGTAAAGGTAGATGTCCATTTGATCCTGCCCACAGCTACACATCAGTTATGGTTGGTAAGTTCAAACTTTTTAACTGCCTCATCAATAATACAATCTTGGATTCTCTCTCTTCACTCTTCCTCATGATATGATCCATTACTGTGTTTGTTATTTAATTATCTAGCATCTATAAAAATATTGCATTGCATAATTAGTTTTAAAGTGTTAAATAAAAGATGAAACAATTGGTCATTTTTACTCTAACAATTTTTGGTTTTGGTTTTCATTCTTTAGAAATGTCTAGGGTTTTCAGTTTGTGCATTTGAAGTATTCACTCATTCATTCACCAAAATCTTTCTAAGCCGTCCTGCTCCAGCCTCCTGTATTGGGAGGCTGCTGGGTTGCAGCCACCATTGCAACCACCTGCTGGGTTGCAGAGGCCCCTAGAGGAAAGTCAGCAGGGCAGGGAGCCCCTAAACCCACAGCGCCAGCCCACATCCTCCCACACTGCCACCTGCAATGGACTCTGCTCAGCTCCACTCTGGCTGTGCTGCCTTTGGGGGGCAGGGAGGGGTCCAGGCTCCGTGCTTCACTCTGCTGTCACCGCCTCCAATGCACGGAAGCTGGAGCTTGGGCCCTGCTGGCCAGCTGTGACTGGTGCCTGTGGGGTATTGAGCAGGCAGCATGCAGTTGCCGGTTCCCATAGCTCTGGCAGCTGGGCCCCACTCTGGCAGAGCTGGGGGAGGCAGGGGCAGGGGGCTGCAAGTTGAGAGTAAGGAGCACCAGCAGGGCTGGAGGTCAGGAGTGAGGGGTACCACCAGGGCCAGGGGCTGCAGGTCAGGTATGAGGGGCACTTGGCAGGGGTGGGGGGTTGCAAGTCGGGAATGAGGCGGGGCTGTAGGTCGGGAGTGAGGGGCACCAGCAGGGATGGGGAGCTGTGGGTCAGAAATGAGGTGCGCCAGCTTAGCTGGGGGGTAGGGGGACTGTGGGTTGGGAGTGAAGAGCACTGGCAGGGCCAGAGAGCTTCGGTTTGGGAGTAAGGAGCATCGACAGGGCTAGGGAGCTGCGGGTTGGGAGTGAGGGCCATCGGCAGGGCTGGTGGGCGTGAGGGGCAATAAATCAGGAATGAGAGGCACTGGCAGGGCCAGTGGGGCTGAGAGTCAGGGTGAGGAGCACGAACAGGACCAGGGGTGAGTGAGGGGCACGGGCACTGGCAGGAGCAGGACACTGGCATGTGAGGGCTGCTCAGCACCACAAAGCAACAGGGGTGACAGCTGCAGCTGGACCTGCATCCTGGTGAGCAAAGCGGGCAGGGGGAGCTCTGATATTCCATGATAAAAAAAACAAAATCAAATGCCAAAATGTGTTGGTGTTTAGAATTGATTTTATTGTAATGATTGAAGCACTGGTAGGCTTCTAAATTGCTTTAAAATTGTAAATTTATCAATAGAACATTGTGTTCAACTAATACCTATAGTGGTATTTCATTTTAATTATAAAAAAACACAGATATTGAGGTTTTTAATCAGAGAATCTGGGATTTTTTTATCAGAGAATTTGGGATTCTTTAAACAAAGAAAGCCAGGATCCCTAGTTATCAAGTACTGCAGGAGCAGTCCTGGTAATTTTTATGCCACTGTTGTATTAAAATGATAACCAACTAAGTATAAGTGTATTATTTTTAAAAATACTTAGAGAGAAAGTCTCAGCAGTAAAAGTATATCTTAGGCAATAGAGAGGTAATGCCTATTGTTTTCCCTTGGTGAGGATTTAAGCTAATATACTCTTTAAAGACTTGTTTTGAAATATTTCCGTACCCTGTTCTTTAATACATAATATGGTTTGAAATATGTTTCATTCACTATGTTAAAGATGGAGAGCTTTACTCTGGAACTTCCTACAACTTCTTGGGAAGTGAACCTATTATTTCCAGACACTCTCATCAGAGTCCATTGAGAACAGAATATGCAATACCTTGGCTTAATGGTAAGCAGCTGTGAAAATAACTGAATCAGTTTTCTTCTGAAAGTTTTTAATTTTGAACATTTCCCAACCTTTCAGCCATCTTTCCCCATTTAACACTCCAAACTGAGATGAAAGAAGGCCAGACAGGGAGATCTGTCCTCTTATGCCCCTCCCATTGTGAAAGGAGAGGTCTATTGGACATTGGTACTTTGAAATCTGAGAATGAATACACAAATAAAAAAGCAATTTTGTAATATATCAGCATAAGAATATACAGGTTTTGACCAGATTCAAAAGTTTACAGTAATTTCTTTCTTCATTTACCTTTAACCTTGCTAGGTTAGGACAGAGCCAAACAAGAAAGAACATGATCTTTTAGTTTTTAATTTTGAAATGAATTGCAACATACATGTTCAAAGGATTGTTTGAATTGTTATGAAAACTAAATAAAAAAGGCAGACAGATCAAGCCTATACACAGCAAAGTCAGCTGGGTTTAAGACCATAGCTCATAGCTTGAAAACTGCAATTTATTCATGTTTTGTGTTTATAGGACTTTTTACAATATCATGGGGCTTGCCTACGTGAGACACTGACTGCACAGTAGCCAAAAAATACTGCTTAGTAGCGCGTCATAGCATGGACAGTGCTAATATCCTACAGCGCAGTATTATTAGGCTACTGTGCAGTAGCGTCACTTAAAAGACATTTGCTGGTACTACTGCGCATTAACTGTGGTTACTGTGTATTTATTTAGTACTTGTTAATAAAAGTACTAAATAAATGTGCAGTAACAACTACGCAGTAGCGTTTCGTGTAGATGTGCCCATTATAATGTTGAGTTTTTCACCTTGTTGCATAACAGTATAAAGTTCAAGTTTTAGGTATTTGTGGGTTTTTTAAGGAAAACAAAATGAATTGCATTGTTTTTGGAAGTCTGAAGTTTACTTAAACTTCTTTGCATTCTGCTTTATGATCAAAGATCTGATTGCAAGAATGTGAGCATGAGCTTTGGTCCTCTACTCCAAGCCTGCTGGACCTAGGAGTATATTGGATGGATATTCAGAAGGACTGTGTGGACTCCTTGGGCTCTAGGCATTCACTGGGCAGGCAGAAGACCAATCCCTGTAGCTTGTTTGGAGTTTTAAATCTCAGAGGAGATTGAAGCACAATGTATATCTTCCCCCTTCTTATCTCATGTTTCTTCTAGAGACCTCCAGAAGACATGGGGTTTGGGAGAAAGGGGCCCTGGAGAGACTCCAAGAGGAATGTACATAAACGAAAGAGTAGCAATTAATGTAGACTGCTTTTCTTTATTTGTATCCGTAGAGCCCAATTTTGTTTTTGCTGATGTGATAAGAGCAGATCAAAATAGCACAGATGGGGAAGATGACAAAGTATACTTCTTTTTCACCGAGGCGTCTGTGGAATATGAATTTGTTGGCAAGCTGATGATTCCAAGAATAGCTAGAGTTTGTAAGGTGAGGCACAATTTTATTTCCTTGCACCAATATACTTTTAAGATAACATCTACAGAAAAATACTGGATATTTGACATGCTGTTTAGAAAATGATCAGGTTCATTCTCAGCAAATTAAATGTTCAGATTTAATCTTCTGTATTTAAAAATAATTCTAGTTTGTGTTTGAGTAGCTGGTGTTTGCGAACAAAAATACTTCTCTAAGCTAACCCTGCAGTTCAGGTGAGCGAGTCCTAGCTAAAAAAGTAGTAATGTTGGCCTTTCCATCTGTGTGATAAAATACAGAACTTTTTGGCACTTAAAGTTGCTTCATTTGGAGCAGAATTGAGGTCCTGAGGTGGTTGTCTGGGATTTGTCTGAATTATTTAAAAAAGATTCCACATAACCCAAATAAAGCCTTCTTGCATAGAGATGGCTAGTTTCTGGACTGCTGTGTGGCAGGGGGCACCTCCATAGACAGCTGTCATAGCCTGGAAGAATCCAGTCATCAGCAGCCTGATTCTGTCGTGCTTAATGTGTTTAAATCTGAATGAAGCAGGCTGAGTTGAGTATCTGCTTAACGGAGGTTGTTAAAATTTTTGTAGGGAACGGTTTTCCTTTGAAAAATGCTGATTCTGTGGGAACTGAAGCATTTCATTGGAATGTATCTACTTGATCAACATTTTCAACAGGAAATTGTATAAATGTTTCATGTTGAGAAGATTGAAATGTTTCATTTTGGCTTTGTTGTTTTGCCTTGCATGTCATAATTTAAATGCCAATAACTAACGCTGGCTTTGAGCACAAGGTTTCCATTGTGCTAGCAGCTTAAGGCAAATTTACTTCGGGCTTGTTACTGTGACCCTCTGCCTGTTTACAGCTTGTCTGTGCTTTAAAATGAGAGTAGCACAGAAGAAGAACTAGGGGCAGGTCCTAAAACCTAAGCATTCACTAGTTGCAAAAGAGGTAAAAAAAAAACCAACCCAAACAGTTCATTGCCTTTTGAAAATAGCAACCTTTACCAATCATTTTAAATAATGACCCTGAATAAAAAGCAGGAAATCCTAGCTGGAATTTTGCTGTCAGCTAGCTGTTCTTATAGAGTAGTTTGAGGATATTTTGAAATTTGTAACTGAGGCCTCCGTGCCTGGTGACTCCCAATGAAACCATTCATGCGAGTAAACTTTGACATCTATACGTGTTTGCAGGGTTGGAGCTTATATTTTATTTTGAGCTGGTCAGCTGATAGACATTCTTTCTTAAGTGCAGGTATATTGCACCTAAATTGATTAAAAATTGCTCATCATTGTGCATTTTTATTGTTAAAACTCCATGCTGAGCAACATTTTCTGAGCAGTACTATAATGCAAGTGTTTCTTTTCCAAGTCTCATCTTGCTTCCTTAAAATTTGAACTCAGTAGTGTCTGTAAAAGTCATATCTGCTTACTGAGCCTGGGGCTACCATCAAGGCAGTAAGCCTCACCTACTTGTTTCCATTCTATGTGCACCCAAGCCTGGCACTTAGGCACTGTATATAGCTTAGAACTGCTCTTAGGTAACAGGACCATTGTAAACTATATATAGATATAGTTAGATACAGATATTGTATAGGTATATCTATATATCGATATCAATATAGATAGACATACATACATATTTCCTGAATGTAGGGCCTGGATACATACAGAGTGGCAGTGGATAGATGGGGCTTATTTCCTCTGCGGTGGTCATGGGCTTGGCAGGCAGATAATACATCTGTATCCCAAGTAACTTTTAACTGATGGAGCTGCTGCAGATCTGAACAAAGTATTTGAGAATGGAATTTGGCTCTATAATGTCCTTCACAGAAACTGTTCTACCTTATTCCTGATGAATCCAAAAATTATTTTTAACAAAAATAATAAAAGGCAGTGTGTTTTTGTTGCATCCTGTTTGTTTTCTGGCACATTTATATTTTAAAAAATAGGACTTTGGTATAAATTTTAGATAGCAGTTACTCTGCGTTCTGGTATTTGCTATGTACTGATCCTTTTATTTAAAAAATAAAACCTATCTTTATTTTTTTCCTCTTTCTGCCACTCTCCCCAACTTAAAAGAGGGACCAAGGTGGATTAAGAACTTTGCAGAAAAAATGGAGCTCTTTTCTCAAAGCTAGATTGATTTGCACCATACCTGATAGGAATTTGATTTTCAACGTTATCAATGATGTTTTCATTCTTAAGTCTCCAAGTTTGAGGGAACCAGTCATATACGGAGTGTTTATCCCACAACTGTGAGTGATGCATAGCCTTCCATTTTTAATTTTTAAAATATATTTTTAAATTGTTTTAATCTCAGCTGGTTACTGCAGCGCACTGAAAGGGTAACATTTTCACTCTTTAATTGTAGGAATAATGTGGGGCTATCTGCAGTGTGTGCATACAAGCTGTCAAATGTGGAAGAAGTTTTCTCCAAAGGAAAGTACATGCAGAGTGCCACTGTAGAACAGTCTCATACGAAGTGGGTACGATACAATGGGGAGATTCCTAAACCTCGACCTGGAGCTGTAAGTATAGATAGATTCAGACGTGGCAGCAGTTCTGCTGTCTGGAACCCAAAAGAGAAACCATAACATTTGAGAGAGAATGTCAAAATAGGGTTATAGTTGATAAATTTGGTGTGATATGGATACATTTCTTTGAAAGCCATTTTAATTCAATTTATTTACTAACTGATCCTGAAGTTTGCATCCTGCAGTGAAGGGATTCCTACTTATAACACTTGAGTTGAGTTGGACACAATTTTCCTATTTTCATTATATTTGTAACAGATTTCCAAATAGGTGTTATAGTGCATTGTGGAAGTATAAAGCAATTATATTGCACATTCCTGTACTGCTTGCCTATAAGTCATTGCACTGGATTCAGCTGAACTCCTTGCTAGGATGCAGCATTTCTTGTAGCAAACATATTATTCCCTTCCATGCATTTCTCCTTGTAAGTTGTGGCTTTTGCTTTCATATTAGTAGATGGTGGTGACAGAGTAGGCTAAGTATAGCTTTTATAATCGTGAAGCCTAGGCAGGTGGGTATTCTAAATATATATTTTGGTTGTGTCAATGTATGAGATGTTTGTTCAGCCATCCTCCTACAAATTGAGATCAATGTTTGTGTAATTCAGTAAGTTGCAATGTACAGTAGGTTCAAGAGGTTTTTTTTTAAAGGGATATATTACTGATAGTTGAAATTCCATATTTTTAAGCAGAAGGCCTTTTTTCAAAGGTGAATTAAACAGCCTTTCTTAAAGTTATGTATTAAATATTTGACCCATTGTTAAAAAATAATGCAACTGTGCTCTGATAAGTGAACTTTTCAAAACTAAATCTCTCTTTTTGGTTTATCAGTAGTAACAAGGTAGTGGTTTAGAATCAAACTGAAGATTGTGTCCTCCTTGTAGTTATGGGCAACAGAGTAATGAAGAAGAGAACTAGAGAGGGAGCTCACATTCCTACCTTATCTTATAAATTTATACTTCCAAGGACAAGGATAGAGCTGTTGTTAACTATATGTCATGTATGAAAGCAAATGATAGGATTTCACCATTATGTTTTTCTTTTGCCAGTGCATAAACAATGAAGCCAGATCAGCAAACTACACAAGTTCTCTGAATTTACCAGACAAAACTCTACAGTTTGTTAAAGACCACCCTCTAATGGATAACTCAGTGACCCCAATAGGGGACAGACCCAGATTAGTAAAACGAGATGTGAAATATACACAGATCGTGGTAGACAGAGTTAAAGCGCTGAATGGCACTGTGTATGATGTCATGTTTATTGGTACAGGTGAGTTCAGAAGACACAAACTTTGTGTTTGTACAGTAGGCTGAAATATATTGTGCTCAGATAGAATTGGAGCCTTGCCTTTTACAAAGCAATTCGATCTGTTAATGTCCCTGTCTTTGAAGAAAGTGAGGGGCATTCTCACTGTTGGCTTGTGAAATTTTGCCACAGAAAAAAGCATTTTCATTGTAGAGGTACAGGGGTCCCCTACACTGACTGTCTTCTTCCTTCACTCCCTTTTGTATCAGCAGGGGTGAGGGCCAGTAGGAGTAGCCAAGGGCAGTGTTGTCTGCCTAAAGACCTGTAACTTGTTAATTAGAATGACTCCCAGGAAGCTACAGAGTGAAGTCAAGTTTTTGTAGATTCTTGTTTCACTTGAAACTCCTGCTTGTCCATTTCCCCAGTTAGATTCTCTAAACAGCTGTTCTGAAGTGCTGGACCAGATAACTTTTAAATAGAGTACCACACAAGTTGTTCAGAGAGCAAATTGTTCTCTCCACCTTGCAAGCCTGTCATGCCATACTGATGAAACCTTAGGCACTTCCATGCTTAAGGCTATGCTTTATTTAAACTGGTCTCTTGTGATCATTTGATATCCACAATTATAGCAGGTACTTATTCCTTCTAGTTGTGTCAAAGCATATATTAATATATTTTGAAATCATGGAGAGTTCAAAGTTATACCCTTCTAAGAAGCCTGATCAGATTTGACATACGATTAACAACAAAAAAAAGATATTTTAATACTTTTCTTAATTCATTGTCTATCCATTTCGGAACAGTTCTTCCCTCCTTCCACCTGACCCCCCAAATCTTTTATGCATAGTGTTTGATTAATTAGTCTTCAGTGGTGCAAAACAAGTGAGGCAACTCATTTACTGAAGTGGATACTATGAATAAGAAATGTGCTTAGTATGCAAAAAATTGTAGGCATAGATTACATGCAATGAAATGGGAAGGGAATATGAACATTAGAAATATATATGGAGATGTTACAACGTTTTGAAAATAAGACAAATTGGACATATCTGACAAGAGTCTTGTCATTCAGTGATGAAGCATAATTTAGGAACAAGGAAAGCTTTTTAGCTGTTAGTATAGCTAAAATGCAATTAAATGAAAATGTTAAGGGTTATACCACAGTTAAAAATCAACTGAATACATTTATAGCAATAATGTAGCGTTTTAAAACGAATATATTACTAGCTCAGTTCATTGAGCAGAACTGACTATTTGAGGCAGAATTTGGTTGGACGAAGTTCTTTTAGTATAAACTAATGATTAAACTGTAGATGTAGCCCCAAAGATGCATAATCTAGTATTAAGGTCATTTGAAAATGACCAGATCATTTGAAAATCCAGATCATTTGAAAATCTGGATTTTGGTTCCAGCTCTTCTTTTAGCCATGGATTGATGTTGAGCAGGTCCCTTCGGCCCAAATTCTCAAAGATATTTAGGTACCTATTTTATGTTTGTAGACTACAAATGGGAGGTGTTTCTATACCTCTGTGTTAGGGTTTAGTTCTATGACTGGTTGAAAGCGCTTCACCTATTTTTTTTTTCCATATTCTTTTTGAGGATCGTACTAAGTTACTCACTTGGCTATTTCAGATCGAGGAGCCCTTCACAAAGCTATCAGCTATGAAAATGGAATGCATATCATTGAAGAAACACAACTTTTCCCAGATTTTGAGCCTGTTCAGACATTACTGCTTTCATCAAAAATGGTAAGGGAAAATGTTTTTATGGAATTCTTAATCCAGTCTTTACTGTTCTGTATCAGGGATGTCATTCTCTTTCTGATCCTAGAAGTTACAGTTTATTTTCATTACTTTAAATTTTACAGGATTTTTTCACAAAGTATTTTATATAAAGAACAGGTGTATTAACAAGTTTCCTCCTCATGTTCTCACATGGGTTGTTGCATTCACTTTCCCAAACTCCTCTGCAATTTTTACTGAAAAAAAAATTAATTCCTCCGAGTCCTAAACCAGGGGTAGGCAACTCCTAACATGGGTGCCAGAGCATGGCATGTGAAGGCATTTTGCTTGGTGCACATGTCTTGGGGCAGATGGCAGGGAAGGAGCTGGGGCTGTGCTGCCACAACAAGGATCAGGCGCCTTGTGGTTCTCTTGCCGTCCACCCCTGGCATGCCAACATATTACAAGTTGAGGTTGCAGGTGTTTTTAGCACTCTGCCCCAAAACGTTGCTGATCTCTGTCCTAAACTCTAAGGAAGTATTCTGTGAGGTAATTATTTGATTGCTAGTCTGTGTGTGTGTGTTGTACCCTAGTTAGACACCTGGCCAAACAAGCCCTTATCAGTGAGAGTAATGTTTGACTCTTCTCATACAGTTGCATAGACATCAGTGGAATTACTTTAATCAGGAATGGATTGCAACACTGACTCCTCAATTCTTTAAAAACTTTGGGCTCCATGAGGATGAATCATTTTTTTCTAAATGAGAAATGATGATCCTAATGTTTGTGTTGATCATGCTGATGCTCATGATTCATGTTCATCTTGTTTAGCAAGTGCCCTGAAATTAGAGAAGGTATTAGAGAGGTCACCAGTATGTGTCAAAGACAACCTGTGCCTTCTTGTGCTGAATCTGATACTGGAATTTGTAGGTTACCAGGGCTGCCTCTTTTTTTTTTTCCAAAAAGCTGTATTTTTCTAGCATCTCTTTCATAGGGAAGGCTCCCCCATTTTCATGAAGATGAAGGGAAAATCAACAGACAGAGAGCACACTTTTTTTCTTCTTAATGCATGTGTTGTAGGATAAAGTATTCCTTCTTTGTAGATTCTATTCAAATTGTTCAGTGTCAGATACGTAGGGGTGCACCAGTAGACATTTTGGGGGCTGATACCGATAGCCGATTTTAAGGAGGCAGTTCGGCCAATACCGATCTGATTTCTGATACAGCTGTGTGCAGCTGGTAAGTCTGTTGTGATGGAAGGGGGGGGGGGAGGGAAGGAGCATGGTGGGGAGCAGATCAATACCCCCTGCAGTGAGGGAGGGAGTGGGGCTGGGGCAGACTCTGCCCAGCCGGAGCAGAGCAGGGTGCAGGACTAGGGGGGGGGGGGCCCCCCGGCCACTGCGTGCACCCCGGGAGGACATGGGGGAGGGGTGGGGTGGAGGGTTGTGTGTCCCTGGATCTGTGCGGGGCAGGGCAGAATGCTGCTGGGCTCTTCCCAGCGGGTGCTGGGCCACACTGCACTCAGGGCGGGCAGCAGCAATACTGGGAGTGGGCTATGGGGGTGGGGGGCTTCAGCCACCCCAGATTTCACCCTAGCCACCCCATAACACCCCTCCCAGTGCCGCTGCCTGCCCCAAATGCAGCATGGCCCAGCCTTGCCCCGCCAGGAAGAGCCTAGCACAGCCCTGGCCCCAGCCTGCAGCTGCAGCCCACCCCGCCAGGGCCCTGCGCAGATCCAGACAAGTCACAGCTTTGTCCCATGCCCCACCCTGGTTGGGGAGTGCCTGCCCCTGCCCCTGCCCCACTCCCTCTTTTTGTGGGGGGCACTGATCTGCCCCCCCTCGCCCCTTCCCTCCCCTTCCACCACAACAGACTTACCAGCTGTGTGCAGCTCTGAAAGCTGCTGAGCTGTGCTCCTCTCTGCCTGTGTGTTGTTTTGCAGCTACACACATGCGCAGGCATTTAGCAGTCAAATTATCAGCCACTTCAGGCCGATTTCTAATATAGTCAATTTTCTTTGTATCAGTGCCAATCCGATATTGGACCAATGTATGGTGCACCTTTACAGATATGTACTTGCATTATGTCACAGTTGAAAATCTTACAAAGTACAATATTAGAGGTTACTATAATCAGAAGATCCTTGATGACAAGAACTTTTTAATGTCATAATATATCATTGAGAAAATGGTGTTTAAATTCATTTTAATAACTTATTGACATTTTTCCCCCCTTTTTCTTTTAATTTTGTTGAGACGTCACTTATTTAAACAATATAATTTGAATTCAGTATTCCCTATGGTAAACTGTATAAAAGTTAGAAATTAAAAAATAAAAAAACAAACACATTTTTATTTAAATATAGCTTGGCATGTATAACTACCCATAGACAACAGAAAATTGATGCACTTAGTAGTTTCCTGCCACTTGCAACTTAATAACAAATATTTTCATTTCTAAGTAGAGGGAGATACAATGGCAGAGCTGTGCAATATGTGCTTTTTTTTTTAAAAGCAGATACTGATTTTTTTTTAAATAGTAACTGTGAACCAGACCTCCTGATCCCATCTTCTCCAAACCTGCGTCACTGCATTCTTCTTGTCTGACCATGTGCTGGTGTGAATCCTGCTTATAGGTGTGCATGAGCTTCTCATGCAAAATAAATACCTTTTCTACTTGGAATATTATGTCCTAAGCTTGTGTACGAAGCTAACACATTTCTTTAGTTCCCTGTTCTTTCAAATGTTAGTGGTTAGTGTTAGCCTACTAAGCTTTAGGCTCCAGATATATTTTGCAAATGTTTCCTCAACATTTCTGTTTTACCGATTTAAAAAAAAAAAAAAAAAAAAAAAAAAAAAAGTCATAAATCACACTGACTTGTCTTGACTGAATTTGGAGGCTTCAAACCCCTGCTTTTCTTGTGACAAACTAGTCAGGTTAAAATATAGGAATAGCCTGTTTTAGAGTCCTGTGTGTACTGAGTGGATTCTCAAAAAAAAAATCCTCTTTCACTCTTGTTACAAATCATAAGTTGTAGACAACGTGGCTGAAACTTTATCTAGAACATGGGTTGTCAACTGGGGGTACGTGTACCCCTGAGGGTACTTGGACTGGTCCTAGGGGGTACGTGTGGGCAGTTAGGGACGGAGCACTGCCACCGGTTGGGTCAGGGTGAGGGCAGTGGCACCCCTCTGTCGGGTGGGGAAGCTCGCATGCGATGGCCACTGCTGCCACGTACCAACCGGTGAGCTTCCCCACCCTGCAGAAGGGTACCGCTGCCCTTACCCCAGCCCAGTGAGTTTCTCTGACCTGCGCTGGTCCTGCTCCTGAGAGGCAGCGGCACTCTGTTCCTGCCCACGCACCATTTCCACCTCCCTGCTCCGTGTCCAGCCGTACACCCCCCCCCCT